CCCCCGCCCCCCAGGCCCTGCCCTTGGTGACCACCCCATAGGCCCCCTGCCCGCCCCGCCCCCCAGCCTGCCAGTCCTGCAGCCCCTGCCCGCTCAGCCTCTACCTGGCTCTCAGCCTGGCCGCTGCTACGCTATTTTTACCCAGCAGCCAAGCAGTTCAGAAGCTGGAAACAGAAGGGTGGAGAGCGGCAGAAGAGGAGGAGGGAGCGATGGGAGGGAGGGAGACAGACAGACAGGGAAGACGGGGAAGAGACAGGGTCGGGGAAGGCAGGGATGACTGGGAAGGAGGGACAAGACAGGGAGAACGCAGCGAGGACAGAGCGTGAGGAAGGCAGACGGGAAGGCACAAAGCAGGAAAGCACCTGCCTCCCCACCTCTCCTGAGCCTCACCTCCTTGGGTAGGCTTGGGGAGACTGTATACTCAAGGGCGCCTGGACCTCAGCCTTACTACCAGGATCATTGCGATCCTTTATTCACGCCCCCCCCCAAACACCACCAGGGCTTCCCAGTTCCTGAGCAGTTTTCCAGGAAAATATTTCACAATGGATGTGGGGACACAGCCCTTCCCACAGCTCAGCCAGGCCCCTCCTCTGACCCCTAGTCTTGGCCCTGGGTCATCCCAGCCCCCCCCAGTTCCTCCGTTTCAAACCCAGCGCTCTTAGCTTCTTCCCCTTTCTGAATGGCCTGGAGAGGAGACTGGGGGGTCAGAGAACAGGCTGAAGCCACAGAGGCCAAAAGCTTTCAGTGCTTGCCTCAGTGTCCCCCTCTACTCCACACTGGTGGAAGGGAGGCACCCCAGCAACGCCAGGTTGAACAGCTTCCCTCTGGCAGCCTGCCCTACTCCCCACCATCTGCATGCAGCACCCCATGCTCACCGACCACCGGGACTCCGAGGCAAAAAGGTGGGAGCGGAGGGGCTCCCAGTAGTCCCCGGGGGAGGTCTTGGCACAGATTCAGCAGGGCTTTGTCCGTGTGCTCCTGGGTGAGGGTCCAGAATGAGGAAGGTGGCACAAGGCTCATCAGGGGGGCACGCCTTGGGCCTCACAGGACCCCCTCCTGAAAGGCCTCGCCCAAAGCCTGGGAACACAGCACTAAGCAGATAAAAGGACTGGGTGATAAGGCGGCTGGGGGTCTGGACTGGGCCTGGTGGTCAGTGCTCAGGTATAGCACCTCGGGCAGGGAGACACAGACAGACAGACAGACAGACACACACACACACACACACACACAACACACACACACACCACGTCACCCAGGCCCTCAGCAGGCTTCTGCACCCTGGCCAATCACCACTCCTCTGAAGCCCTCTGTGGACAAACTTCAGACTTCTCACCCCCAGATCCCTAGGACTCCTCAGCCCACAGTGGCCTGCTGACACAGCGGGGGATGGAGGAAGAGGACGCCTTCCAATCCTACTGCCGTGGAATGCTTGCTAAGGACCTCGCCTGCCAACCAGGCTCAGTGCTAGGCCCTGTGACACAGCAGTGAACACTACTGATGTTTTCTAGAGGGTCAAGGACAAGATAGCTCTGCCCTGGGTGACTCGGGCTGCAGCACAGCCTTCACCCTGTGCTGACCCCACAGGGAGAGTCCTGACAGCTGACAGTGCACACAGCCTCCAGCCAGCCAGGAGACAAGGAAGGGCGGAGGCAAAGCCCCTCTCTCCCAGTACCCAGGCTTTGCAGCTCTTCCCCTGACTCCCAGGAGCGCCAGCCCTGTTCGCTTTGCTGTGCGTCCCCACCCTGCCCCGGCACCAGGCATCTCCAGAGGGCCCTTGGCTTGGCCCACAGCCCAGCATCACTGGCACCCAGGTACCCTGCTCCTGCCCATCTTTGCCCGGCAGTGACCTGGGATCTGATAGCAGTCAGAGCACCTGGTGTCCTCCAGCCTGCCCTGGCCTGTCTCCACTGCCTGTCTCCACAGGCTGAGGCAGCCACCAAACCCAGCCCTCCCGCTGCCCCAGGCTCCCAGGCACCTCTCCTGGACCCCAACATCTACACAAACCTCTGTGTCACATCAAGTCACCCCTGCCCGTGACCTGCTCAGGGCCAATCACCTGCAGAGCCCCCTTTTCCTCCAATATCCAGAGATAGTACCAGGTGTTCTCAAAAAACAGAACAGGCCAAGTGGCGGCTCAGAGAGGTGGAGTCACTCGCCTAAAGTCGCAGAGCTACAGAGAAGGGTCACAGGATTCAGACTCCACATAGCTGGTTCTAAGGTAGCTCTGGGGAAGGGTGGTGGTAAAAGTCTGCTTGCCAGTTGGCCTCGTAGACTGGGCTGTGGTGGAGGACTGTGCTCCAGTTAAAGAGAAAAAGTAAGTAACTAGGCCTGGTGATGCATGCCTGAAATACCAGGTACCCTGGAGGCTGAGGCAGGAGGGTAGAAAGTTTGGGCCCAGCCTGGTCAACTTAGTGAGACCTTGCTAAAATAAAAAATAAAAAAGGGGCTGGGGATGCAACTTGGTGTGAAGGCCTTAGGGTTCAATCCTGCAAAGAATAATACTACCAAAAATAAATAAAAAGGGACAGAGATGTAGCAGTCAGAAGGCACCAGGTTCAATTCCAGTACTACAAATAATAACAACAGCAGTAACAGTAATAATAATTGAAATAAAGTAAATAAAAAGGGCTGAGGTTGTAGCTCAGTGGTACAGCACCCCAGCTCCCCCATTCCCAGTTCCACAAAAACAAAAACAAATGAGAGGAAGGTGGGTGGGGTCCCAGAGGGTTAGGAGCGCGGGTCGGAAGTTTGAGGACGCGGGTGGAACCCACGCCGCCCTCCGGGAAGGAGCCAGGTTCGGGACCCGGC